GAGATAGGAAGGCTAGCCAGGTTTGTTTTGGAATTATCATCATCGAGGTTGGGGACCAAATCTGTAGGAATCAAGGCAACCACTCAGAGAGAATCTACATGAGGAAAGGAGCCAGAGGCAGAATCCGCTGGAAGCTTCAGCGTCAGTGTCAGATGCCTGGGGTTAGAGTCCGCTGTGTCAGTGGGTGGTATGGAAATAGAGCCAATAGGTATGAGCCACCCTTCCTAAGGTAGGAAATCTGGGAACAAGAAGAGGCGTTTGCTTTCTCTGATGGACTAGAGTCAAGTGCATGGGGCAGTCTGGCCACCTGCATCTTATATGAAACTCCCCATCCACAAGAATTACTGTCTCCCAGCATGCCCGTTAGCACAACTTGTTACTCAGATCATATGGGTTTGCTACGTCCTCTTGCTTTTGACCATCTAGACCACTGGTCCTTCCCCAGAGTTGATAATCCTTTAGTCTCAGTTATACCCCCAGCATATAGCCACACAGGTGTTGGCTCTCCCCTTGTCCACACTGTGGGCTCTCAGAGAACTGTGCAGCCGAAGCTATGCATTTACAGTAATAGGTAGTGGTGGGTAGGGAAGCAACTGCCAAGGGACTTCAAGGTGCAGCCGAGAGAGGAGTGGCTGATGGTGCAGGATCCCCGAGAAACCAGTGAGAGTGAGCTCTGTGGTATGGGTTTGACTCACTAAAGAAACACATCTTCCCCAGAGATAAAATTAAAAAGAGCTAGCATTATGAAAAAAAAAAAAATTCCTTACAATACATCAGGCCGGCTTTTCACTAAGGGTTTTGCTTATACTTAGTACTCACACCAGGACCACACAGAGGCCCTCACATCATCCCCATTTGCAGATGAAGAAACTGAGACTGGAGCAGTTAGATCACTTGCCCAAAGTCACGCAGGTAGTAAGTGACAGAGCTGGGGCTCTAATTATGGCCCGAGTCCATGTTCATGCCGTTGCTGTCACTCCTCAGGAAACGTGGTCAGTGAAGGCAGCGAATCTGAATTGTAGGGAGCAGAAGTGGAGGAACTCACGTTGAATGTGTCAAGGCCACAGAGGAGAGGAAGTGAGGTCATCTCTAGAGACTGGGCTTGGGGGGTTTAGTCATTTTCACAGAATTCAACGGCAGTAGCACAGGGTTGGAACGGCCACTGTGGGATAGTCAAGGGAGTCGACAGCACGACCGACAGGACTTCTGGACAGCAGCAGGGGCCCAGCTGGGGTTGCATAATGTGCATTTTGTAGTGGAACCAATGAAGGCATTTTTACGAGGGTTTCCAGCAACCTCTCACCGCCCCCATATAGAGGACCACAGAAGAGATGTTTTTGCTCACTCCTTAGGCCTCAACACTTGATTACGAGCCCGGAAGAGCAACGTCCTGCGCGGGTGCAGTGAACCATCTGTAGAGAAGGGATAATGGGATCCCACGGGGCCCGGGATGGGCCAGGTGGGAACAATGGAGGCTTGGGGTGAGTAGCGAGTTCACTGCTAGAGGGACTGACCACAAAGAGGCCTGTGAAAAGAGACTGGGGCTGGGAGGCTGAAGCGAAAAAGCAGCTGTTTGCAAAAATACACACACTGATGTTCACACATTACGGCAGCCTAAGGAATGGCCGCTTCCCTACTTGCTCAGGGTGAGTAGTAATCTGTGTCGGGCAAGAATGCTGATTTCACTGTGTCTACCAGCAGAGAAAACTGGGGGCTGGACAGGAGGCTAAAACGTTGGCCCCGGTAACAGCCTGGTGTTTGCTAACGAGGCTGTAGAGGCTGTATTACAACGGCTCTGCTTTCCAAAACAGCACCCTCAGGAGACAAGAAATAAAGTCATTTTCCTTCGGAGGCAGACGATTTAACACTGCTTAACAATAATACTTAACATCCTTAGCCCTTAGCCTTAGGCAACCTCCTAACTACCAAGTGCTAGGAATTGTCTTTTTCCTGGGTGAACTAGGGCTCTGGCTTTACTTGTCGAAGTGTCTTTTCTACTGTGGCAGCAGGTTGCGGGAGCCTACTGTGAAGAGGACTGAGTTCCATGGCACATAAAAGGGTGCCCCCTGATCAGGGCTACGGACTAACTCCATGTGCTGGGGGTGGGGTGGGTGCCGAGGTGCATTTTCTCTCTGGGTGTCAATGGTTCCGAATTTGACATACAAATCGATATTACTGAGTTAACTTTAAAACTCCTGTCATGCTCTCCACAAACCACATGGGAACCACATCGGTCAGCAGCCCATTAAGTCCACTGGAAGGTCGGCCACCAACTTCCCATAGAGAGAATTATTCCTATTTTTAATTAAAAAGTTAACTCCAGGGGCGCCTGGGTGGCTCAGTCGGTTAAGCGGCCGACTTCAGCTCAGGTCACGCACGATCTCGCGGTCCGGGAGTTCGAGCCCCGCGTTGGGCTCTGGGCTGATGGCCCGGAGCCCGGAGCCTGTTTCCGATTCTGTGTCTCCCTCTCTCTCTGTCCCTCCCCCGTTCATGCTCTGTCTCTGTCTCAAAATAAATAAATAAACATTAAAAAAAAATTAAAAAAAAAAAGTTAACTCCATAAATATTGTAAAGCTCCCTGCCTCTGACAAAGAGGGGATCCGGTGCCTACAGAGATGTGCTGACTTCCCTCCTGGCAAAGGGGGAGAGCAGTGGAGCTGCTGTGATTCAGTCGAGTGAACAGTAAAATCTCCAGGGTGGGGAGGACTAGAAAACCAGGGTAAACGTCACTGGCACACGGAGCTGAGTCTGCATACCTTCTTGAAGCCAGCAGTGGGTCCCCTGCCTCTGCACTGTGCCTCTTCCTGGGTAAATATGGAGCCTCCCACGGACTGGAGCACAGTGGTGAGCATGCCTTGCATCTCCCCTTTAGATGTTGAGAAGGAAACTCGAGTTGGAGCTCCTCTACTTAAAAACAAGCGCCAGGGACCTTTCCTGCATTTGTCTGAGCCCCATGCATTGTCCATCGTGGCCAACTTCTGGTTGCCAGGGAGCCACCAAGTTCTGTGTGCTCATGTGGCTAATCCTAATCACTCCTACCACCGTGTACGGGTGTGGGTGGACTACTGGCCAAAATTGTTTTTGGTCTAAGATGCTTCCCCTCCCGCTACAGTTACACTCTCGGGATTTTGTCAATTCCTGCATTGCGGTGAAGCTCCAGGGCCAGAAACAGCATAAATGCATTGCCTTTGTCAGAAAACTCCCTTTGCAGTGTTTGATCCTCAAATAGACTTGTTGAAAGTCAGCCATGATTGAGCATTTCAGGGCTTCTTAGTAAAGATAAATAGGAGCTGGAAATTCAGAAGACTTCCTGCTAATAATTACTAAACTAAGCATCTGCTGTGCTGTCATAAAAAGGTGATTTGCGGTCTCCTGTCCTAGACAGTAGGGTCCCAAGGATGGACTGGCACTGTGTCTCCAGTCTCCATATTCTCGGGGCCTGATACAGAGTAGATGATTAATAGATAGATGGGGAGTGAATGAGTGAAATTTGTAGGATTCTCAATGTTATTTCTGTGCTTTTGATTTGTGCAAAAAAAAAAAAAAAAAAAAAATCCATTTCCGCAGTCTGGTGCAAGTTGGCCAGGAAGACATTAAACTGTTTCCAGTTTTATCTTTCTTTCTTTCCTCTCATAAGAACATACTACTTTCCATCTGCCTTAACCACAATTTCCATACACTTCAACACTGAAAGCCAGAAATGTTATATTTAAAACAAATTTTGGAGACGACTTCCATTTTTTTTAAAACGAAAACAAAATAGTAGGCCAGGGAAAAATAAGGAGAGGAAAGAAATCAAAGATGAGAAAAGACTAGGAGACAACCTATAAAAAATGAAAATCGGGAGATAAATAAAATACAGTTGTATAGAAGCTTTTAAAATATTGTATTTTAAGTATTCTGCCCAATCAGTGTTAAAAACTGGTTCTCCACTAGATTTGAGATTTTATTACTTTTGAAAATCAACATACTATTTATAAGAGCAGATGGTCACTTAGGCTATGCCTGTTGCAATATCCAGGGTGGTATTTTTGTAAATTCCCACACAGAGTTGTAGCCAATGTGAAACTCAACGCAGTAACTCCCTCTGGGATAACACTTCAACAATTCCACTTTGATGAAAAAGTTCTATTTAGGATCGTCCCCCTTCTTTTTAAAAGGAGATATTCCGTAACATTTCAGTTTTCTGGCTGGCATTAACCTTTTTTTGTTTGTTCCCCCGCCCAACCCCCCTGCCACCCCCCCCCCCCGAACTCACGAATTCTCACACTCTCGATTCACTCCCATAGTAGCCGTCCTAGACATAATCTTGGAAAGTTTTCCTCTTTGTCATGTGCTACTGATAGCAGACCAAAATTATTCTTCATCTCACAGATAAGAGCACAAACCTTTGAGAATTGTATCTCATTTTCAGGGGTGTTCAGTTACAGCATAAGTGGATCACGTTAGGCCAGAATCACCAAGTGAACTTTTCCCACGCGATTATTTCCTTCCCCCACTGTGTCTGTACCTCTCAGCAATATTTGCTGACAGCAAATACCAGGTCAGATTCTAAATCAAGCAAAGAACATCTTCCCAGGTTCACATTTCTCTCCTGCTTTTTAACACCCACACGAAGCTCCAAGGTTAAGGTTGGCTCGCCCTTCCTTGTTTGTAGGTAACTGCTAGGACAGAGGATTTACTATTTTATTGTCCCTAAGCTTGGTGCAGGATGTTCAATACCATTTTTATAGCAATGGCTTAGGATTTCCATTCTGTATCCAATATTCTTGCTGACATGTTCAATTGCAATGATATACTATTTTCTTCCCTTAAAAAATAACCCACAAGTGTTTCAATTATTAGCACAGTTGTGAAGATGGCACGAAGGTTGTAGCAGACGGCGGTAAGGCACATTATAACATATTCCAGTTTCAAAGCCAGATTTCTATTTCATGTAGATTTCTCTAAAGGCTTTATCGGTAGGTGAGCTGGTGGTGGGAGACCCCTGAGTGATCTACCTGGGTAAGGAGGCGTACTGTCTCTCCATCCCCTCAAAGCGGATGTTGTGTGCATTCCCATCTGGACCCTTTCCAGACACCTGTGGAGAGAAAAGTAATTAGAGATGAAGATCCATTATACACCCTAGTTACTGACAATGCATCGCAAAATTATAATCAGCGCACAAATGCTGCTGCTGCCTGCCAAAAATCAACCATGGAAAAAGCAAGCAAGAGCTCAGTATTGCTATAGGAATTGATGATCAAGCCACAAACATGGCATTTAACAACAAAGTTGCTTCTTTCAAAAAGGGTCATTGTCAAGCCGACTCCTTCCTGTCACCAAGCCAGGGATATTCTGTAGGCTGTGGGCCATTTTTTCCCCCCTTTTACGTCGGCGTTAGTGTTTAGAACAGTTTCAGACTTACAGAAAAATTGAGAAGACAGTACAGAGTTCCCATTCACTCTGAACTCAGTTTCCCTATTACTAACATCTCACATTAGTATGATACAGATCTTAAAATTAATGAATCAATATTGATACATTATTGTTCACTAAAGCCCATAGTTGACTTGCAGTTTTACTCAATGCCTTTCCTGGTCCGGGACGCTGTATTACATGTAGGTGTCAGGTCTCCTTAGACAGCTCTTGGCTGTGACAAGGACCATGTTTTTTGAAAGTATCTTCTTCAACCTTTCTTTACTAACAGGGGCTGATGACAAACAACTATCTCCTCCACAGCTCCCATGAAGCCCTTCCCTCCCCCAGATCTCACTTAGTTCTCTCCCTTAGCAACTACCACAGAGAAGTCATTAACTCTTTTCTGTCTAGGGTTGGTCTTTATTATGTTTTTCCCCTTCCTATGTACTTTCTGTGTTCCCCTCTCGTCGGGTCTCCTCCTTCGACCTCTGAGGATCTGAAGAGCAGTGACTGGCCCCAGGATGTTCTCGACAAAGTATGTTGGTTCTGTGAACGTGAAGACTTCATACATAGTGCTTCTGCGTCTATCATACCAATTAGAACCAGGATGAAAACATACACGTATTTCAAAGTTCTTGTTGACTGATCAATCCATCACCTGTTCATGTCGATGTATGTGGTTTTGTGGATCACTTACACGCTTGCTCTCGTGCTGGGCCAGCCCTCGCAGAGTGGGCCTGGAAAGGGTAAACAGAACACCTGGACCATTGTAATGGGGGAAGGGAGAGTTGGCTAGTAAACACAGAAAGTAACAGTGTCAAGTCAGGAGGGGGGATTTTTCCAGGTGGTACTCAGCTTGCAAGTTCTTTTCTTCCCACCAAAAGTTCTAGCTCTCTATAAAACCTCCATCCCAGCTTGGGTGGTGGGTGTAGGGAGGGTTTATTGTGGGGGGGGGGGGGTTGCAAAGCAAATATACACACTCATTTAGAGTAAGAAAGGCTATGCCTGGTGTCAAAATTATTACAGGAGGCTCTTCAGAGTGTGTCCTGCAAAGCCTTTTCGTATTTCACCAATACATGGAACAGGAGTGGCTGGAGTTATTTGAGAGGCCAACAGCCCAGTGAATTTCCCAGGGAAGGATAAAGACAGCACCTACAAACGTAGAGACGACTCCAGAGAGACTGAGAGTTCTCCGCATGAGGATAAAAGCCCTGATGTAAACCACCGTCCTTTCCAGCAAACATCAGGAACAAGGATGGCATCAGACAAGCTGGGGTTAAATAAATGGTACAGAAAAAAAAAGGGAAGGATACAATTATTGTCCTCAGCCTCGTCTATCTGAGCTTTGTTTTTAACCTGTTTTTCATGGAGGGAGAATTAGCAATAATACCAGAACTATGCTGAAGATTATTTAATTGTGATTGTTGGGAGCACATTATGCTTATGTATCCGTAGTATGGCTCTAGACATTTACAAGTAACCTTTCTTCTTATGGCCACAAAACTCCAAGTTAATACTTTCAGCACTATTATCCAGAACTGGCCTGGCCTAATGATGCAGTCAGCACTCTGGTGTCTCTAGGAGGCAGCACCCAAGTGCCTATCCTGATGAGCTACCAGTATATGAGATCATATAAAGCACAGGATGATCCTTATCTTAAGGAAGTTTCAGTCTTTTGGGGGAAAAGCAAACATCAGAAATGAAATAATTAAATAATGATGTAGGACAATGTATGATCCTGTGTCATTCAGGATGTTACTAACAGCACAGGTGACACCCGAAGGTGTCGGGAAAAAGCTTCACAGAAGTAGCAGAATGTAAGGCAAAGAAGGGTGGCATGATTCTCTATCAAAAATGATTCTGTTCGAACATAAAAAAAGAAAGGGGGGGGCAGCTGGGTGGCTCAGTCGGTTGAGCGTCCGACTTTGGCTCAGGTCATGATCTCGCGGTTTGTGGGTTCAAGCCCTGCGTCGGGCTCTGTGCTAATGGCTCAGAGCCTGGAGACTGCTTCAGATTCTGTGTCCCCCTCGCTCTCTGCCCCACCCCTGCTTGTGCTCTATCTCTCTTTCAAAAATGAATAAACATAAAATTTAAAAATGATTCTGTTTGTCACAAACAGAAAATGCACCTATTTAATTATTATATTTATATAGTGTATATATTGCGTTTCGCTATTAACACGACAACCTCTTTAATGCAAGCATTAAATTAGTGACTACTGAGCAGCTACTGTATCCTGATGCCATGCTAGGCACTCTATTCAAATGAGTGAACAAGGGCTGGATTTCTTCATTGCTCTGAATATCGAGGAGACAGGCCTGCAAACAATTATGGTACGATGAGATCACTGCTACAGTGTCAGTAGGAGAGAGGAGGCGGTAGGAGTGGGAAGAAACAGACACGAAAGTCCACCTGAGAGAGTTGAACGCAGCTTCATTTGGGCGTTGAAGCTTCCTCTAAAATTTGAAGGCGAATGAGAAGTTTTTGTGGGGGAGAAGGCGTAGGAGTAGCAGGAGAAGGCATTCTAGGTAGAGGGAACAGAAATGAAACAACATGGAGTCATTTACAAAAGAAAAGGGCTCTGGTTTCAGGGAATGTCAAGATTTTGGTAAAGGAAGAAACAGAACCTGTGAAGGAAGAGGATAACCACACCACTACCACCAGAACTACTATTATGGCTATAACCATTATTGCCGATACCATAACTTTTTTCTTGGGAGGCTTTATTTTTTTGAGAGCACTTTTAGGTTCACAGCGAAATTGAGAGAAAAAGTACAGAGGCCCTACCCCACTATCTCCACACATGCACAGCCTTCCCCAGTATCAGCATCCCCCCATGTGGTACGTTTGTTGTAAGTGATGAAACTACATTGACATATCATTACCCAAAGCCCAGAGTTTACGTCAGGTTTCACTTTGGGGGTTGTACATTCTATGAGTTTGAACAAATATATGGCATGTATCCATCATTCTAGTATCATACAGAATATTTTCACTACCTTAAAAAATTCTCTATTCTCTGCCTGTTCATCTCTCCCTCTCCCCAAACCCATGGCAACCGCTGGGCTTTTTATGGTTTCCATAGTTTTGCCTTTTCCCGAACGTCATAGAGTTGGAATCTTACAGTATGTAGCCTTTTTATATTGTCTTCTTTCACCTAGTAATATGTATTTAAGTTCCATCCATGTCTTTTCATGCCTTGATGTCTCATCTCTTTTTAGGGCTAAATAGTATTCTATTGTCTGGATGTACCGCAGTTTATTTATCCATTCATCTCCTTGGAAGGACATCTTGGTGCTTTCCAAGTTTTGGCAATAATAAATAAAGCTACTGTAAACATTGTGCGCAGATTTTTGTGTGAAGATAAGTCTTCATTGCCCTTATGTAAATACCAAATACTGTGGCTGTTGGGTTGTATAGTCAGAGTACATTCAGTTTGGTAAGAATCCGCTAAACCATCTTCCAAAGTGGCAGTGCCATTTTGTATTCCCACTAGTGACGAAGGAGAGTTCGTGTTGCTCCACACCCTCACCAGCATTTGGGGTGGTCCGTGTTCCAGATTTTGGCCCTTCTAATGTGTGTGTAGTGGTATCTTATTGTTGTTTTAATTTATAGTTCTCTGATGACATATGATGTGGAGCATCTTTTCATATGCTTATTTGCCATCTGTATGTCTTCTTTGATGAGGTGTCTGCTAAGGTCTTTGGTCCATATCGAATTGGTTTGTTTATTTTCTTATTGTGGGGTTTCAAGAGTTCTTTGTATTTTTGGGTAATGGTCCTTCATGACATGTGTCTTTGGCAAACATTTTCTTCCAGTCTGTGGCTTATCTCTTCATTCTCTTGACAATGTTTATTGCAGAGCAGAAATTTATAGTTTTACTCAAATTTTAAATTTGTGTTGGTGATTCACGTTGAGTTAATTTTTGTAAAGGATGCATGGTCTGTGTCTAGATTCATTTTTTTTGCTTGTTGGATGTCTGGTTGTTCCAGCACCACTGGTTGAAAAGAGTATCTTTGCTCCATTGTGTTTATCTTTACACCTTTGTCAAAGACCCAAATAAATATTTATTTGGGTCTATTTCTGGGCTCTGTATTCTGTTTCATTGATCTATTTGTCTATTCTCTCACCAATACCACACTGTCTTAATTACTATAGCTCTATAGTAAGTCTTGAAGTTGGAGTGTCTGTCCTCCAACTTTGTACTCCTTCAAAATTATGTTGACTATTCTAGGTCTTCTAAACTTTAGAATCAGTTTGTGGAGATTCTTCAGAATCAAAAAAGCAACTTGTTAGGATTTTGGTAGGGAGTGCATTGAATCTATAGATCAAGTTGGGAAGAACCGACATCTTGACAGTATTAAGTTTTCTTATCCATGAATATGAACTCTCTCTCCATTTATTTGTTTTTTCTTTGATCATTACCACAATTTAACACTTACTTGGTACTTATTGTTGGTCAACTAAAATGCTAAATGTTTTATTTTTATCAATCCATTCAATCTTCCTAAACCCCAATGGTTGCCCTGTTTTTCAAAGGAGAAAACTAAGTAGTTGCCCAAGGTCATATAGCTAGTGCATGGAAAATCTGAGACAAAGATCAGGTCTTTCTGACCCCAGAGTCCAAGCTCTAGAGATATAGACATGGACCCGATCTTGGAGGAGCTAATATGCCAAGGA